AGACCAAGTTTGCATTTCGTTCCGCTTCATTGATTTTTGACGGAATTATGGCATTTTCAATTTCTAACGGGAACCAGATTAAACTTACCGGTAGGGGACTAGTATTGCTAATGCAATACTCTCAGAATGCTTGTTTTCTTCGTTAATACTATGGTATCTTTTTAAATAGTGGGGATACATTTTCAAGGACAAGCCAAATTTCGTGGGGCGTAATTTCATGGGTAAATCGTATATATGTGAAAAATGAAGGTAACGAACAGTAATCAGTCTCCAATGAAACGATACAAAGAACTATAAACGGTAAGGGCGTATTCCAGCCCCCATAATAGTCAAATTTTGAAAATCTCTTGAAATGAGAAAAAGTGCATATATTGTATAAAATAATCCAAATTAAGACAATATATTATGAAATTGGAAAAATTAGCTGGCTTTTCTTGTCTCTGTGACGTCACAAACTATTTAGATTTCCGTTATTTTTAAAATAGAGGCCAAAATGCACAGAGTTTGTTCAATTTTGACTATAGTTTTTATAGAGCGCAAGCTTGCTCAGGTACCATATTCACATATTTCATTGATATTATCATTCTACACATTATATCAAAAGATCTAGTCTGAGCAGACCTGCGCTCGATAATTTCCAATCAAAATACCGACGTAAAATACGCTATTTTCTCTCAAAATCATTGCAATTTGGAATTTACGTCATTTTATTGACGTCATATCTAACTAATGATGTCATAGTTGATAAAAATATTTAATGCTTTGAAGTCTGCAAATATCCACCTGGTTTAGAACATAATTAAAGATTTCTCCATCAAAGTTTTATTTTGGGGGCAGATACTGGCCACTACAGAATATAGTCCTTTGGAGCAAAGCAAACACGGACCTCAAAATTTAGAGGTGGGATCAGGTGCCATGGAGGAGTGAGCATCCCTTGCCGACCGGTCACACCCACTGTGTGCTCCTTGTCATGATCGGGAAACAAAAACCGGTAATATCCGTAGACAGTTCAGTGTATAAATAATGGCCTAACAATTAGTATGAAAAACATCAGTCAGCATTTGACTCAATGATAGGTTGTATATGCTAACGAGGTCATTGTATCGACCGAAAAACTTGCGAAAAGATGACTTCAAACGAGACTGTTGATATCCTTGTTTCGTCAACTTGTTTGTCAATAACTTGTCTCGTTTTAGAAATTGTTCATAGGTAGAGCATGCTCTTGCATATCGAATCAACTGAGATACATAAACCCCATATGCAGGTGATAAGGGTATATTGCTAGATAAGTAAGGGAAGTTGACGATTGAAAAGTTGAAGTCATCACGTTGATCTTGAAGCTTTGTTGTTAGGTTACTATTAACTTCTTTCTCTAGTAAAATATCTAAATTTGAAACAGATGTGTCAGAATCTGTGGTATCTTTTATTTCGAGTCACTGGGATATGTCAAGTCGACATCTGAATGAAAGTAAGTATTGTTAATTGATAATACGTCGTCGATATATCGAAATGTCGAGTTGAAGGCCACAGCAAGTGTTTTCTTCTTCTCATGTAGAAGTTTTTGAATACATTCTGCTTCATATGAATACAAAAATAGGTCTGCTAATAAGGGGGCGCAATTGGTACCCATGGAAATTCCAATAATTTGTTGGAACACCTGATCTCCAAAACCACATAGATATTGTCAATCAGAAACTCGAGCATCTTTTTAATGTCAACTTCAGAGTACTTGTGTGTACAATCAGATTGTTTTTTCAACATAGTAATTTTGCAAATGACCAGTGACAAGATAAGTAAATTTACGAGTTCCATTTTTATCAAAAAAGCAGCTGTCAACAATGTCAGAAAGTCTGGACTTTAATTTATCGTGGGGAATAGTTGTATATAAAGTTGAAAAGACGTAAGTTTTTATGTTGTTGATTTTGGTAAAATTTTGTGATTTTAAATGTTCCAAGAGTTCTTTGGAATTTTTAAGTTTCCACATCTGATTTACATCGCTTCTCGAATATACTGTTGCACAGTACTCTTGAAGTTTCTCCTTCAGTACTGTTAATATCTTAGTGAGGAGTAAAGAAAGAGGCTTGGTAGAACATTTACTTGAACCCGCTTTGTATCTTTGTTTGTAAGGATTTTTATGAAGTCTCGGAATCCAATGTAGATATGGTGATTCAAATTCATTTTGGTTGTTGGGAATATTAAAAATATTCATAAATGACATATGATTTTGAAGAATTTCCTCCTTAGAAAGGGAGCTATGGGTATAATTTCTATTACCACTTGTAAAATTAAATCCCAGTTCCTCTAAAATATAATGAGCCTTACAAACAAAGGCAATGTTGTTACCTGCTTTGTCAGCAAGGACCAGTACGTACTGATCGTGTTATCTACTAGTATCTATTTTTTTTTCACTTCTGAATTGTTGAATACAGAAGGATAGATGGTTTTCATACTGCCCCTCAATCGTTTAATGCGAAATTTCAACATGTATCTTGTACATTTAATCCATTATGACAAAGTGTCAAGGTTTCCTTTTCATCTTTGACCCAACGCCTGGCGTAATCCTCTACATAGTCCATAATATGTATGACATTTCTACGCCAGTTGAAGAATCGGGGTTCCCTATATTTAGGACCTTTTAAAATTAGTAATCTAAGGTCCTCATTATTAACTATATTTACGTTACCAGTAATAACGTGTCCAGCCGGACTATCCAGGCCTTGTAAAGTTTTCTTGTAATTAAAAAGTTTGGAAGCAATAGTCGATGTATATTTGTAGGAAATACAAGGTGTAGTCTTCAACTTGAAATATGGTGGAATACAAGACTGGACCCTTTTGTCATTAAAAATATTACTTATATTAACCGCGTCAATTCCTTTGTTGGCATATTTGAGGTTAAGGTCAGACGATCCATTCCTCAAATATCTGTCTTGTATATCTTCGTAATGTATGAAAAATATTCAAAATTTTAACTACCTTCTGATTTCTAAACAAGCTTCAGAACGTCTTTAAAAAGTCCAAACACTAAAAAAATTTGATATTGGTAAATTAATTTTTCCCAAAAAGGATTATATAAGAAAAACTACCCTCTAGTATCTTGCACAAATGCCTGGTAAGGTACCTTAATTTTTTGTGAGTAAACATGTTCAAGTAGCAATACTTTAATGACAAAATCTTGGAAAAAATTATATATTATTGAGGAACGTATCATCTGTCCTTAAGGAAAACGGGTTGTTTTAGCTGCATTTTCTTCTGTAAAACGTGGCGGTTTAAAAAAAAAATTATTAAAAATAAGAAATTAATTAAAACTGAAACTGGAAACTGAACTCATGATGGATGGCAGTCAAGCCCCACAGGACATAATATCCAGATGGTGGACATGTTTGTTGCTGGAACGTCAGCATACTCTACCAGAAAGGAAAATTGGGTAAAATCTTGGAAGAAATGGACAGGAACACCATCCAATACAAGATTCTTCTAAAACGATGTTAATTGACATAAAATGGCAAACAACAATAGAATAGAAGTAGACAATTCTATATATCCGGGCAGCAGTGTTGGAGTTTATGCTTCTAAGTCCTGTAAGATGACAAACAAATTCATGCAAAAATAGACTAGACACCTTCAAAACAAGATTGATTCCTCAGGTCCGTAGAACACTAAAGATATTCTTGCCAAACAAAATCAGCGAGTTGTTCGACACAACATCAACAGCTGCAATATCCGACCAAATTAAAGAAAAGCGGTGGAATTGTTTAGTTATTTCTTTAAGAATTGAAAAATTTAAAATAACTCGATTAGCTTGAAAAAGACTCCACGAGGAAAGGGAAACAGTGGACGAAAAAGGTCACATGGCTCTATAGACATAGAAACGAAAGCCCAGGATTGGACTTAAAGCATGGTACAGCATGTATCCGCCGACAGACAGAGATAATGGTCCTTTAGTAACGACCTCATTTGCCCCCTCCCCCCCCCCCCCCGTGAAGAGGATTTAGTAATGCGTATGCTGGATGTACGGAAATTAGTTCTCTTTATTTCACAAAAACGGTTGGGGGGTGGGGTGGGGTGGGATGGGGGTAGTAAATAAGGTGATAGTAAAGAAAACATAACAATTTTAAAAAGATTGGCATCATTTAAATTATTCTATAATGCTTTAAACAGTCAATCTTCATTTTGTCTTCAGCAATAAAGGGGACATGCCTCCGCCTCCAGATTATATCTCTGTGGTCAATGTTTTGAAGGTTAATGTTTTTACAGGTAAAATTAATCATTAGATGTAATGGGCGCAGTAGTAATCTATGTCACTTTTTGTTATCAATTGTCAATCAAAAAAGATATAGAACTGAGTTTAATCGGAAGAATTGAACCTGGAAATTCTACGAAGAAAAAGCTAGCTAGTTGTCAAGCTGGTATCTCTGTGTCAGCCCCATAAGGCATAACGGTATTTAAACTTATAGACATATAGTTTAGCATCAGAAATATATGATGTGGAGTTTACTTTTTGATTGAAATAAAAAAAGCAGAAAAAACTACCTCAGTTCCACCAGCAATACAATGCTGAATAAGTAAGAAATGACGTCAAAGAAATTAAATGTATATAATGTCTATAAATACTTTATAAATGTTTGGTACCTAAATTACCTGTGAATTCCTAACTAAGCATGATACACCTGTAACAGATACAGGTGTCATTCAACATCAGTTGTACTTCATGTTGGCGAAAAAATTGACATAAATGATTATATAAGTTTTGCTTGGAACGACTTTCATCTTAAGTACCCCATTCTTAAAAACACTTATATGCTGTTATGTTTATTCGTATTCATAAGAATGAATCATAAAAAATATTGCTTAATTTATTTTTACATTGCCTAAGATGCTTATTTGCTTTTCCGTTCCAAAACATTAAGTGATTTATGATATTTTATCCACTTTATGATTTGTTTCTAATGACAATTCAGAAACTTAGTTAATGATTTGAAAGAAAATGACAACTATCTTACCCATTTTACAGTATATATGACCGTTGACGACGCATTTCCGTGGATTACCAGGACAATGAGCTGTACAGCCTGATCCATAGTAACCCTCAGAACAGTAGGCCTTGTACGTTATCTGGATACTGAAATAAGAGTAATATGTAGATAAACTGTACAGTCTGATCCATAGTAACTCTCAGAACAGTACGCCTTGTACGTTATCTGGATACTGAAATGAGAGTAATACGTAGCTAAACTGTACAGTCTGAACCATAGTAACCCTCACAACAGTAGGCCTTGTACGTTATCCGGATACTAAAATAGAAGTAATGGGGTAATTGTTATAATTATACTTCAATTCACTTATTTGGAGCAAATAAATAATGCTTTAAGTAAAAGTTTAATTACTTGGAGAGAGAGAAGGGGTAATTAAAATCGATTATACAGATTATATAGATTTGAAAAATCGTCAAAGTTTTATACAAGTATTAAATAATGTGAATAAAACCAACTTACAAAAACGTATTTTTATCCGCCGAATAATTTGCTTCAAATTGTTGCCAGTGTTGTGAAAGTATGTTGTCTCCAATTTGAAGACTGTAGTTTGAGAACTCTGTCTGGTAGATGAGTGGTGAGGAGGAGTTTTGTAAATCTCGTACTTCGATACTTAGCTTGTGTTTTTCCTGTGTTAGAAGTATTTGAATAGTTTTAAAACGTGTTTCAGAAAAGAAATATATATATATATATATATATATATATATATATATATATATATATATATATATATATATATATATATATATATATATATATATATATATAATATACTATTTCATTGACAAAGATAGATTTTTGTGAAAAATTATTCATACCCAAGAATCTATTTCTAAAAGCTGTGGGTTTGTTGTATTCCCGACTTTAGAACCATAAAAGACGTTTTGTCGCCGCATGTCTAATGTTGTAAATCTTGATACACAAGTATGTGTACTGTTTCTGCAGCGAGAAAAAATTAATAGGCCATAAATTTTCTTTGCCTGTGGATTCATTTTTATCAGAGACTTAGAAGACTTATACCACTCACTTAAGACAAACGGTGAGTACAGGTTTACACAACTTGGTACAATGGCTACCGGCCACACCCTGACAACATCCTCCTCCGTGAAGTTTATTACCCGGACTCCTCACTTCATCTATGTGAATGAAGAAAGTTATCCTCCCTACTGCTAGCTAAAATAAATACATGCAAAATTTAAAACAATATTTTGCCTTAAATGAAGAGAATTCGCCGTATGTGCATAATCAAAATTATTACGTCATACCTGTTTTATGCATTCGTCAATGCTATCAGATCCTTGGAAGAAAATTTATAAATTTCTTTGTAAGAATTTATAGCGTTTTTATTTCATTTATGAGAAAGATTTTTTTTCTTTATGTTTTTCTTCAGTCTCAATTTTACAAAGGAATTAAAAGTGGAAAAGTCGGATGTAATGCAAATCAACAATGAGCTTGACTTTTTATAAAAAAAAAAAAAAAAAAAATAGTGGTCAGCTTTGGCAAATCAAAGACGATATCCGCTGTGAAATCTACGGTAATTCAACTCTCATTCCTCAAGGGACATAAGTATTTTTGATTGCTTTATTGGTTTCTGTACTCCTTTCAAATTATTTATTTGATTTTATCTGGTTTAATTTCTTATTCGACAATATTTCACTCATATAAAAACTTTAACATATATAACAATGAAGAACTTCAAATTTAGACATTTATTTCGCACTCAGGGACATGAAGCAGTGAGGAATCTTTACTGAAGCAACGTCGTTCATGATATGGGGCCTCGACTTTAAAGGTCTCATCTGAAAGACCCGTAGCTTTCTCTTCAAATTGCCGAGCGCTTGGCTACCTATTGCTACCAGTTTTTAATAACTTAGGCCTGTCAGGACAGGGGCAGAGTTCTGCAGTGCGGGGAACTAATTTTGCTCAGCATCAGCATAAGCAAAATAGGCATCAGCATCCAGCTAGTATTGGGATCATAAAAAATGCATTGCCGAGATCAGCATCAGCAAGCAAAAGAGAGAACAAACATAACTAGCATTGACCTGCTTAAATTCAGCATTGACCTACTAGGAACAAAAAAAAATCAAAAGTTTTTCTTCTTTAAAATAGATTGAAAACAGAAAAAATACAAGCTAGTTTAATAATTTGAAATATTAAATGAAAAATATAATAAAAAATAATTATTAAAGCATTTAAATGCTTTTAACTGTAATGCTGAAATTCAATTTACTATATTCTGCTAGCATTATATTACTTCGGATAGGATTGACCTATTTTGAAACAGCAAAGGTAGCATCAGAATAAGGATAACTAACATAAAATTAGCAAACAAAGGAAGCATTCAAATCAGAGAGCAAAGAATTAAAAACAATTCAATATAGATGCTGTAACAAAATAAATACCCTGCACTGTACCGTCTGAGATACCGTGACGGTTCGTATCACATAACATGTTCAAATCAGTAAAAAGATTGCTTTAATATAAAATGTTTATAACACACGTTTCATGGTGTACTAAAACACATTGTCAAAAATTGAGCAAGAATTTGTTGAACGGAAGAAAAAAAAGTTATAATTTCCTAAAAATTTATAAGAATTGATTTGTGCATAAATGCTACGAAAACGATTAATTCGGTATTGATGCTGAAAAAAATCTCGATTTTTTTTTTTTTTTTTGATTCATTGTTTTAACTTACATGTAAAACGAAATACACGACAAGAAATAAATTAACTTCTCTGTTATTCAGTCACCATAGTGTTAATGTTAGATTATCATATCAACCGAAGACTTTCAGTAAACCCGCAGTTATGTTTGAAATACTTACTGTCAACTTTTTCTGCGTACAGAGCAAAGTTGCCTCTATCAAATATTACATTAATGTAATTATGGCTGTTTTTCTTCTCTTCATGGTTTCTTTATTTAAATATTTCCACATAATTCAATTGATTGCATGTAGTAACTTGTAATATTACTAAGTGGGATTGTTTTTCTGCTTTACACAGAATTGATTAAAAAGGTAAAGTGTAAAGCACGACACCAATGCATCTCTGTTCGAGGAATTTTGCTTAGGAAATTTTTTTAATTTAATACATTTTCTCAGTCTTACCAAATGATTACTATTTTTTTATTCTTCTGACGTCAAAACACACTGGTAATGCATCATTTCTTTGTATACAGGATTCGAAACTGTAGACCTCATACGATTTTCTATAGAATGTCTTACAAACTGCATTACAAGAAATACAAAAAAATGAACTGAATACTTCCAAGCAGTCTACATGTTAACTGCTAATGGATTGCTTTCAGCAGTGATAATTACCTACCTTTACTATAAAGATACAGAGCACTAAAAACACTATTTGCTTTAGTTCATCCATAATTCCTCCCTTAATTCAGTGTGACAACTTAATTTGATCTTTTATAGACAAATTTTATCTTCCAAAAAGATAAAAGTAAATGCTTATCTTAAAAAAAAACCCACCAAACACAGATAAAAGTAGCATATTCAAGGAGATTGACACTTTATGTACTTCTTCCTTTTATCTTGAGATATTATAGTGTTGAGAAATGGTGTTTAGACTTTGTACATCTTGTTGTCTATTGTATTTTGAGATATTTAATGTATATGTAGAGGTGATGCTAACTAAATGGCTGAAAATGTCTTGGCGGTCTAATATCTCATCGACAAGTTTAATATTTTTTTGATTGTTTAGGGAAATAAACAATTGAATTTAAGTCTTTTTGGTATAGATTTAAACAGGAAACAGTTTTAAAACTATGACATAATATTTTTTTTCAACTTGGTTCGAGGAAACATGGGTTTTGTCAAACCCAGGGACCAAAATGTTTGAGGCTGTCTGAGGGAATTAGGTCCAAGGCAAACAGTTTGGTTCGAGGGGTCGTCAAAATGCATTATGTCCGAAAAAATAGTCAATAAATTTATTGTTATAAAATTTTCTTTTTATTTTGACATATCTTGCACTGGCTTCCAGGTCTGTGATAATTGACTAAAAGAAATCATAGACGATCCCGCCTACTGTGTAACGTACATATAAAAGAGTTTGCCATACTTTCATTTAGACAATAATATATACTTAACTATAGCTTGTATCATCTTGACATTTCTTTGTCAGTGGACCTTATTACTTGAGCAGCAAGTTGGGAGTTTTCTCTTTGATATGGATGAACACACGGTTTTTCAGGGTATGGTATTATACAGGACATTTCATTGTTGTTACATGTTGTGTCAGCGTTTTGTCCTCAAGGACATGAAGTTTGACCTTAATTGACCTAAACTTGCAATTGCATATTCAGATTTATTGCTCAGTTTAAAGCTCCAATAATCTTTTATAGCAATTAAGCTTACAGCCGATATCTGACGATTATAATTTTGAAAAATGCCCATAAAGACTATATTTGGAATCTTGTAAACAAGCATGGGTATGAAACTTAAAATGTAGATTAAATCAGTACTTGGAAGATTTTTTGTTTGTTACCTATAGTAACGATGGTTCTGGGCTAGCTCCATTGTTTCAGTAATATAAATGTCTTATAATCCTAGCCTTCTTCTATCAAATAATAATGAAAAGATAATTTTTACCTCAACCCATAGGAATTTGAACAAGAGGTTTATTATCCAGAATGCTCACATGCCACATTTCTTATAACGCTCATGATTTTGTAAATTTATAGACTGCTAAGATTTATTTTTTTTATATAAAATTTTGTTGCTAGCTTTAAAGAAATCTGAAATTTATGATTGATTTTATGTTGTTTCACGTCCCTTTCGAGAATTTTTTTCACTCATATAGAGACGTCACCATATACCGATGAAGGGCTTCAAATTTTGACCTTTACTCGGCACTCAGGGCCATTGAGCATTGAGGGATCTTTATCGTGCAAACGTCTGCCGTGACACGGGGCCTCGGTTTTTAAGGTCTCATCCGAAGGATCCGCCGCAACTTTCACTTCAAAGTGCCGAGCGCATGGCGAAGGAACAGTTACTTCCCATTTTTTATCGACTTAGGCTAGTCGCAGCCGAGATTCGAACTCACGACCTCCCGATCACGGAGCGAGCGCTCTACCGACTGAGCTAACGTGAACGGTTAAATCTGAAATTTAAAATTAAAATGAAATTGAAAACGTTCTAAAAAATGAATTTATAGATTTAACTTTTGTCCGAATTAAACTAGGTCCAAATTACCGGAAGTAAATCAAACAATAACACATTTCGCATCCGAGTAATAGATTAATATTTTCAAAATCTGGTAGATAATGTATAATGAAATAAAGACAAAGAAAAGAGATTTAAAAAAATCTGGTAGAAAGTGTAGAGAGATCTTCAAATTACTCTCATTTGTTTGAATTATGATAAAAAAATGTATTTGTTTGCATTGCTCATTATTTTTATCTGATATTATTTTAGAGGAACTGGAATTTGATTCTGCAAGTGTTAATCTAACTTATAAGAGGAAATTCTTCAAAATTACGGATCGGTTTTAAATATTTTTAATATTCCCAACAATCAAAATGATTTTGAATTATCATACCTATACCAAAATTCTCAACTTCATAAAAATCCTTACAAACAAAGATACATAGAGGTTCCAAAAACTTTTCTATTAAATCTATTTTCCCTCCTCACTAAAATATTAACAGAAATGAAGGAGAAACTTCAGAGGAACTGTACAACATTATATTCGAGAAGTGGTGAAAATCAGATGTGGATACTTAAGATCACCAAGAAATAGGTACTTAAAAATTCCAAGGAACTTTTAGAAAATTTCAAATCACCAAATTTTACCAAAATCAATAACATCAAAATTTACGACTTTTCAACACTTTATACAACCACTCCCCACGATAAATTACAGTGCAGTCTTTTTGACATCAAAGACACGATTTTTTTTTTTTCAATACAAAAGGAATTCGCTAATTTACCTACCTTGTCATTGGCCATTTGCATAATTATTTAGTTAAAAACAATGTTATTGTTCCGACAGGTATATTGTACTCGTAGTTTATGTTACAAAGATGCTTGACTTTCTGATTTACAACGTCCATGTATTTTCTGGGAGATCAGGTCTACCAATGTTCTGTCGGAATCTGTTGGATATCATTTGAACCCGTTTTTAGCTGACTTATTTTTGTATTTTATGAAGCAGAATGTATTTAAGAAATAAATAACAAGTTTAAAAACTTTGATCACGTACCGACCCACTTCATTTCCCAGTGAAGTTTTTAAACTTGTTATTTATTACTTATATATACATTTGAGACGGACAATCGAACATAATTGAATATAAATATTGCACTAATTGTTCGTCGTAGATTTTGACAAATTACGCAAGGTGTAAATCGGCTTGAAAAGCGGTTACACTTCAAATTCATCTGGCAAAGAATTCTGTTTTGAAAGGAATATTCTGTGAAAGGCTACTTGTGATCAATTATAGTGAGCATATTGGTGTCTGGGAATTTTTGTATTCGTGAGAACCCATATTCGATGTTTAAAAAACACAAGAAACACGTCCGATGTTTGATAATAAAAAGTTGGAGGAATTTCGGTCGGAAAGGGATGGATGGATACACTTGTCCGGACCAGTTAACTTGGAATCAAGTTTAAAATTTGATCAGAAACATAAAATCTAAGATTTCAATGACGGGAAGGCATATTTATTATGATGTTGACACGGAGACACAGGCGACAGCTTACATTGTTAAGACAACGATCTCGATGATGGAGGTGTGCCTACCGAACTTCAGAAGTGCAGAGTTTGTCAGCTGTTTGTGGCGTGATTGCATTACATTGATATTTTCCAACAGATTTTCAAATTTATTTGAGTAAAGTTTAATGAAAAAAAAATATAGCATTCAGAGGTCTACAAGAAAAATAAGGGTAAACGTTGAGACTATGCAGCACAGACATGAAATTTATAACACGTAGTTTTCTATTCTCTGCGTAAAATCGATCAAGAACTATATTAATTACTCGTTTACATTGTAAATAAAATGATTATTATTTTACTTGGGTATTTTGTACATTTTTATGCATGAAAAACATATGCTATATTGCTAAGTAGAGTAAGTCTTTTTATGTAGATATTACTGCGCTGGGTGATTAGGTCACGTAATGACCTATGACCTTCGAAAAACTTCATACAGGTATGAAGATATTTGCTCTCTGTATGTTTATATAATAGAGAGATACCACAAATGTATATATTAAAAAAATAAAACAGGAGAAGGAAAGAAATTGCTGTGACCTTCAACACTAAGATGTATCGACGACGTATTATTAATTAAGAAAAGCTACTTCCATTCATATATCGACTTGATAATCCTATTGAACTTGAATAAAGGATACCACAGAGTCTGAAAAAAATCTGTTTCATATTTAGATATTTTAGTAAAATAAAAAGATATTAATAGTAACTTAACAACAAAATTTCATGATAAACGCGATGACTTCAACTTCTGTACTTATGAAGCAATGTGCCATTATTACTTATATAGAAATATGCCGTTATTGCCTGCATATGGAGTTTATGTCTCCCAGTTGATTCGATACGTAAGAGCATTCAGTATGTACGAACAATTTCTAAAACGAGGCGAGAATTTGACAAACAGATATATATGTATACACATAGTATTATGATTTTCTAAAATTTTTACTATAAAAAAAACCTCTATCATAATAGTTCTAATATATCTTTTAAAAGCAGCTGTTTGAAAATTCTTGTTTTGATAATAATTTTTACTACGGATGAGTCCGTAAACCCGAGCAGTGCAGAGAGTTGTTTACTCTATCTAGGCAACTGATCTCGTCTCCAGTGTTTCATGAATTACTTGTAGGATTAATAATTCTTTGTTATTTTGCTCTTCAATCATAAATAAAACACCTATTTTATATCTCTTACTTTGACTTATTGACTTATTTTTATTTTAAGTAAGTTAGAATTTAAGGTTGAGCGTACAGATTTTGGAAGCTAATAAACATCTTGTGTATCTTGGACTCTTGACATAAACTTTGCCATTCGAATGGACTTGTGCCAGGATTGGAACAAAATACAATCAATGCTAGACAGGGCTGCCCAATAAATAACCAATTAGTCGATTCTGAAGATACATGTATTAAATACACGTAACCGACGATGAATTTAATGCATTTTTCTAATAATATACAATAATATTTAATGAAGGAGTTCAGGGTTTGAAAATCAGGTCGTCGACTTGAGGGGTAAAATTTCATACATAACTTTGTTGTGTTCAAGTTTGCTGTCTGACATTTTTTCCCGCGAAAACATTTGATGAATACACTAAAGAACAATGAATGAGGGGAATGGGGATATTTGTTTTAAGGTCAATCTGTTAAAGATGCATAAAAAGGAACAAAAAGCCTGGTTTAAGATATTTACGTGAAATAGTAACTTTAAAGACATAAAGCTACTTCAGTACAATACACTTAAGATAAGTTATCAAGCTGTTGACTTTGTGCTTAAGTATTTTACATTAGTTGATAATTCCATGGTTTTAGAATATGGACATAAATAAAAGACTGTTTGTCTTGTCAAACTAGTATCATTCTCGTCGATAAGCCATAGAGCATGCATATGTGTACAGAGAATACAAATTGATATATATAGGGATATCAGCAATTTTGTTTTGAGATAAAATAGTAAAGGAAAAAAAAGACTGCCATTCTCAATATAGGACAGAGAAATAAAATAGAAATCTTTCAATGTATATTGAATAAGCAGAGAAAATGCATGCAAGAAAGGATTTCCCATTATTAATGAAAATATTTAAATAAATATAAAATGATGCATACGCGGCTAGGATAAGGCTGTCCGAAGAATGTCATAGTGTACCAGCCGCAGTAACTTCTCTGAACTACCTAGATATGACGTCATAATGGCATATGACGTCAAGTCACTGCAAATTTGAGCAGACATGACGGGGAAAGTGTCATAACTTTTACATTCCTTTCACATCACATGTAGAATTTATTTTACGTTGATGTTTAATTCATGTGTCTGGATTGTTGTTTTAAGGCTGTTATGATGGTAGATATTTGCAGTATGATATCGTTAGTCCTATTTCTTGTCTAGCATGTACGTATTCAAACAATTACAAAAAAGAATGTGAAACGCTCCCCCTTACGCGTCTATAGACAGAGTGAGAATTTATAAATCGTGTATATATTAGACTGGCACAAGTGAATAATAAGGATTAACTGAAGATATTCTGTGTGAATCTACTAGAGAAATATGTCCTCTAACTAAATTTTGCTGGGGGATTGTATGTAATTTATCCCATTTTGTATAAATTGAGATGAAGAGTGGAAAATGTCCCCTTGTATGTGGGTAAGTTGAATTTCTCGTGAAATATTTTCTTAAGAAATAAAATTCAGACTTGCCCCCAGCACTTTTTATATACCCAAGAATACGCTTAATTGATTTATGTAACAAGCCGTTCACAATAATTTTGTTTTTCACTTGTGCCGAAGCGATTTTTGTGCAACATTTAAGAAAGTTTGTTAGTGTCCATCACGTGATCAACACAGTCATGTGACATCACAGAAATGCCTTTTTATAATACCTTATTCAACTCTCTTTACAACTTAATTGTGTATGTATATATAGATTACAAATTGAAATCAAAACATAGCTCAAAATAAAAATAGTATATATCTAATGCATATTAAGCCTTCGGACAGCCTTAACATAGCTGCGTAGTCTTGAGCATTATTTACTTAATACGTTTCGAGATACACTATTAAAAGTCGTATCATTTTATGTATATATTATTATTATTATCAATGTAGGTTCTATGTACTTTTAAAACATCATAGAAATTAATTAATCATTTTTGCTTTTTATAGTAATATCTCACATATGTTATTTATTTGTAAATAAAACCACAGTCCAGCACTACAACAATTTAAGTAAAGTTTGCTTTTGAATTATCTACAGTAACTGCAAGTATCATTATTCAAGTATTTTTATTCTGCAATGCCATTTATAAATACAAAGAGTTCTGATGTATCAGATTTCAAAATTCTATATACTCAGAAAAAAAAAATATTTGTTTTGTATGTAATAAAACAGAATTAATTTGATTCACATTCAGTAAAAAAAAAATCTGGTAAGTGTTTATCATTCTATAAAAAAAAATGTTGCAACAATGTTTGAACAAATGCAAAATCACGTGTCTCGGCCAAAAAAAAAACATCACAAAGATTTCCCCTGATTTCTTTGTGATGAAATAGCATTAAAAATTACTTAATTTTCAAAAAGTCTCCCGAGTGGCGCAGTGGTTAGAGCGTCTGCTCTAGAGTCGCGGAGAAAGAAGTCGATCCTTACGGCACGAAAAAGATCCCTCACTGCTCAATGGCCCTGAGTGCCGAGCATAGGTTAGAATTTGCAGCTCTCCATCGGCAAGTGGTGGCGTCTCCATATGAGTGAAAAATTCTAGAGAGGGGCATTAAACAACATACAAAACAAACAAACACAATTTTCAAAAAACGTTTAAACCTACATACATGACAGCAATTTTTACGTCCCACCATATATATATATATATATATATATATATATATATAGAGAGAGAGAGAGAGAGAGAGAGAGAGCACAAAGAAATTCACTTTTACAAGGATACCCATATATATATATATATATATATATATATATATATATATATATATATATATATATATATATATATATATATATATATATATATATATATATATATATATATATATATATATATACTGTATATATATATTAGCGGTCTCCTATCCGGATACAAGATTCAGTGTTAAGATAGAGAGATTTTATTGCATGATAGAAGTTTCCATCGATACCATGCTTCAGCAGACTAAGTTGTAGCAATTCTCTGTCGACCGTATCAAACGCTTTTTGCAAGTCTATGAACGTAACAAATGTTGATTCATTATTT